ATTTACAATGTTGTGCAACTATCACCACTATCCAGTTCTAGAACTTTTTTATAATTTGAAACAGAAACTCCATACCCATTAGAATGGATAAAGAAAATGTGATATAAGCACATAATGGGATATTACCCTGGCTTAAAAAATAAGGAAATCCTGCCTATTCGAAACAACATGAATGGGCCTGGAGACAGTATTTCAAGTGAAACAAGCCAGATGTGGAAGGGCAAATATTACATGATACCACTTATATGAGAAAACTCAAATAGTTCAAGTTGTAGAAGCCAAGTACAGAATGGTGGCTGCCAGGGGGTGGGGCAGGAGAAAATGAGGAGTATTGGTCAAAGGGAACAACGTCTCAGTCATGTAGATTAAGCCCTAGAGATCTACTATACAACGTAGTGCTGGCAGTTAACAACACTGTATGGTACACTTAAAATTTTTGCTATTGGGGTAGACCCCATGTTGTTATCACAAGTAGAAAGAGGGCGACAGGAAACCTGTGGAGGTGATGGATATTTTTATGGCAATGATTGTGGTGATGGTGTCATAGTTTATACTTATTGCCAAACTCATTAAGATGTATACTTTAAATATGTACAGATTTCTGTTTATCAATCATAACTTCATAAATTTTTTTTTTTTAAGAAATTCTAGCCAGGTGTGGTGGTGCATGCCTGTAATCCCAAAGATTCAGGAGGCTGAGGCAGGAGGACTGCATCCTCAGAAATTTAGCAAGGCCCTAAGCAACTTAGCAAGATCTTGGCTGGAGGTATAGTTCAGTGGTAGAGGGCCCCAGTAGAGGATTCAAACCCCAGTACCAAAAAAGAAATTAATTCTGTTCCCATTTTACAATAAATCCCATTTCTCCTCCCACCTGCCCCTAGTAACTACTTTCTGTCTCTATGACTGTGCCAATTCTAGGTACTCATATAAGTGGGATCATACAATATTTGTCCTTTGGCTTATTTCACTTAGCATAATGCCCTCCAATTTCATCCATTTTGTAACTGAATAATATTCCATTGTGTAGTAGGGGACAGACAATACAGGGCACCAAAGACAGCAGGAAACAGTTTCATTTGGCTACAGCAAGGTTCAGAGGGCACAGCTTTCACTGTAATCAATTAATCCCCCTGAACCCTGAATTCAGGTAGGTTCAGAACTTTACACCCAGCATGTAAGGGGAGGGGCTCAGAAGTTCACAGTCTGCAGAAGTTCACACAAAAACAGCTTTTTCTTTCACTGTTCTGGGCAAGTTAACCCTTCAAGGACAGCGCTAGAGAAGGGGAGAGCTTCTTCTCCCCTTTCTTCCCTCCTCTGCCAGATGTTACTATGGAGCCCAATTAGTTACCTCCTCTCTTATCTTTGAAAGGTAAACATCTCTGTGAAGCTCCAGCCCAAGGCCAGGAGCCTAGATAAAAGAATCTGTTTTTCTTATTACACTCTGCATTTGCCAGCACACGACAAACTATTATGTATGTTGTTATTTATATTAGACAGTCCATCAATGTTTGTGAAAAACTAGTAAAGGGGCATTCAACACCTGGAGTGTTGATCTCTTCCAGGCCAAGTAAGATAGAGCAACAGGAAATAAGAATTTTAACTACATTGAACTCTTTTGTAGAGATTCTTGTGCTGATAGTCCTAAGATCAGTTATGGTGAAGGTTTCTGGAGAAGCTTCATTAAGATTTTCTGTGGAGGAGGGGTGCCACTACAATTGCATTGTGTCGTGATTTCACTTTTTGAATACAGTTCTCTACCAACCCAAACTCTATTTTGATAAATAGTGCTAGGGTCTAAATGTTGGTGTCCAAACTTTCTATATCTGAACTTAATACCCAATATAATAGTATCAAGCAGTGGAGCCATTAGGAGATGATTAGGTCATTAGGGTGGAGCCCTTATGAATGAGATTAGTGTCCTTATAAAAGAAGTTTGAGGTAGTTTGCTTTTTCTGCCCCTGGAGGAAGTGCCAAGAAGGAGCCAGCTTTCAAACAGAAAGCAACTTCTTGCCACTGGATCTTTTAGCACCTTGATCTTTGACTCTCCAGCTTCCAGAACTGTGAGCATATATTTCTGTTGTTTAAAAATTTACCCAGTCTAAAGTATTTTGTTTACAGCTGCTCAAATGGACTAAGACAGATGGTAAAAGGTAAATATCTAAAGAAAACTTAGTAGTTGTTTCCCCCAGTGATATGAAATTCTAATGTTCTCCTATGTCCCAATGCCATGCATTTCAGCTAGGGCAATACTCTCCCAAGGGGGCACAAATTGTTTCCTGAGGTACAAAAAAATCTTATGTGTAAAGCACAGATATAGATAGATAGATTTTATGTTCCTTATTGTGTATTTGTTAGACTAGTCATTCAGTGTTTTTTAACTTTTGTCTTTGTTGATTCCTTCTTGCTTTTATTTGGTTGAATGGTTGTTTTTATATTCATCTAAAATAATACAAGCATTTAAATTCCCTCTGTTAATACTCACCACATCCCACAGTAGCTTTTTACTGAGTGATTGCTACATGGCAGGTACTATAGTAAGTGCTTTACAAGTCTTATGTAACCAACCCTCCCTTCAAGCCTATGAGGTAGGTATTACCATCATTTCACAGATAAGAAAACTGGAACTCAGGGAAGCAAAATAACTTATCCACGGTTTCACATTAAATAATCAATTGTGCTGAAATTCTGATCCTGGAGTCCATATTAATTCCAGTAACTTAAGCATTCAGTGCTGAATTTTGATACATGAAAGTTTTTATTGTCTTCTACTCTCCCCACCAAATGGTTTATATTGGCAGCTTCTATTTTTCCTTTTACCCAACAGTTATTTAGACAATCTATTTTTATTTCCAAGAGATTTTATTATGTGATTAGGTTTTTCATATTATTTTCAAATCCTCATATGTTGTGGACAAAGTACTCAGGCAAATTCTGCCCACCCTTTGAGGGGAGGGGTACTGGGAATTGAACCAAGGGGCACTCTATCACTGAGCTACATCCTCAATGTTTTTTGAGACCTCGTCTTGCAAAATTGCTGAGGAGCTCACTAAGTTGCTGAGGCTATCCTCAAATTCATGATCTTCCTGATTCCTGAGTTTCTGGAGTGAGAGGTAAGGAAGGGCCCTGTACTCAGCTGTGGGTTGCTCTTAATACAGAACATGGGGCTGTGTAAGTGTTCAGTAAACGTTAGCTGTAACCAAAGGCCAATAAAGTAGAGCTCAAGGCAAAAAACAGTAAACACAAAGGATGGTAGGTAATATAGAAGAGTTCACCTTGCTGAAAATCGAGAAATGCTACAGTTGCAATGGGAGATTTTAACACACCACTTTCAAGTCTTTGTAAGACTTTTCTTATTCTATTTTTTGCCCCAGTACTGGGGATTGGACCTAGGGCCACTCTGTACCACCAAACTACATACCCAGCACTTTACTATTTTTTTTTTTTTTTTTTGAGACAGGGTGCACTAAATTGCTGACTGGCCTTGAACTCAACTTCCAAAGTGACTGAAATTATAGATGTGCACCACCAGCTTAAATTCTGCTTTTTTGGAATAAAAAATTTCTTTATGACAAGGAACACAATGTAAAAGACTAGATATTCTCTACTTGATTTATACTATATTCTTAGTATAGCATTCTGATCTCTCCATCCATTTTTTTTTTTTTAATATTAGAAAGGCTAGGCCATGTACACGCCTGTAATTCCAGCGATCTGGGAGGCTGAGGCTCTTTCTCAAAAATAAAATAAAATAAAAAATAAATAAATAAATTTAAATAGATTAAAAGGTCTGGGGCTATAGCTCAGTGGTAAAGTGCCCCTGGGATCAATCCCCAGTATATGTTCCCTGCCCCCCCAAAGGCATCCCGCATATTTAATTTATTTACCAAAAAAAAAAAAAAAAAATCTAAAGGTAGGTGTGGATCCAGATTTTGTGTATGAACACAAAATTGGGAAGGATGATGAATGTTTATTTAGAACAAGAAAATAAACCATAATGAATTAAGAGATCTCTTCTGGCATTTAGGAGAAATGCTTACTTATGCAACCTTCTCACCTAGGGGACTACAAATTCCAGTGGCCTCTGCATGTGAACTTAAAGCTCATTAGCTTCACATAAATTGGATGGGGAAGAGTAAGAGCTACAGTTACCTCTATAGGAAAAAAAAAAAAAAAAAAAAAAACAAGGTCGAGCAGAATCTGAACAGCATGCACTCCCAGCCCTCGCCTTCACCCCGCTTGGCTTCTCATTAGGGTCTGTGACCGCTCAGTAGGGTTTCGCCGCGGAGGGCAGAGCAGGATCTGACGAAGCCCCTAAAAGAGAGGCGGACGGGAATGAGCTGCATAGCCTTAATAGAGAAAGGTGCTTTGGGAGCTACAGGGAGAAAATTTAAGGGAAAGACATAAAGTGAGGCAGGAAACTGGGCGAGTTAGCCAGACCCTAGGTACTTCCATTTATTTAGAAAATGTTCGGAACCCTTCCACGCCCCAGGCGTGACTCTAGATCGCCGCAGCGCAGCGAAGGGGCCTGGAACGAGGCGAATGAGAGCCGGGACCGAGGCGGAGGACGCGGGCCGGGCGCTGTCACTGGCGTGCTAAAGACACGCCAAGCGAAGAGGTGGGCGCGAGTACCTTGAATAGCGCGGTAAGTGGGGATCCAAGCCCGGCGACCTTCTCAGCCAATGGCTGCGCGATGCGCCGGCCCACCAAGGGAAAAGACGGACAGCCTATTAGGCAGCAGAGGGCGCCGTACGCGGGCAGTGTAGCCAGGGACAGACGTCTCCTTCCATATTTCTTCTCACGGTTAACCTACCCCAGCGCCTCCACGCTAATGATTTGACACCCGCCTCACGCACCTCAGCTGCCCTCAGTAAAGATGGCTGACAGGTGCGGAGGAAAAGCCGGAAGTGGGCGGGCCTGGGAGGAGCCGGCAGCAGGCAGGGCGGGTCCTGATTTGAGGCGAGGGCGGGGCCACCGCCCCCACCTGGGTTTGCTGTGTTTGGGGCGCTCAAGCTGCAGAGCCGTGTCCTGGTCTCCTTCTGGGGGCGGGTCCGCCGTTGGCTCCGCCCCCTCTCAGGTGTCTATCTCTCTAATGCTGGCTGAGCCTCGCCTTTGGCCCCTAGGGTCCTGCGGACCTCCTGTCCCTCTGAGGTGGCCCGCCAGCGGCGATGGCAGGCGCCCGGGAAGACACCCCTGAGTCTTGCTCCTCCGCTGCCGAGTCCGAAGACCCTCCCGGCTCCGCCAGACTCACTGAGGCGGTGCCTCCAGAGGAGTCCGAGGGCTGCGGCCGGCCGCTGGAGGAGGCTCCCAAGAAACTCTGTGGATATTTAAGTAAGTTTGGCGGCAAAGGGCCCATCCGGAGCTGGAAATCCCGCTGGTTCTTCTACGACGAGAGGAAATGCCACCTCTATTACTCGCGGACCGCGCAGGATGCTAATCCCTTGGACAGCATCGACCTCTCCAGTGCGGTGTTTGACTGCAAGGCAGACGCTGAGGAGGGGACTTTCGAAATCAGGACTCCCAACCGGGTCATCACGCTGAAGGTAAATGGAACGGTCTCCTGGGGCGAGTTCCCAGGCGCTTCACACTCGTTTCCTCATTCCTGCAGGCCAGAAAGAGGGACCCGTTTTTCTGGATCAAGACACTGAGTCAAAGAAAGAAGGAGTGAATGGCCCGAGGTCAGGCATTTCGAATGGTGTAGTCCACCCTTGGAATCCTGTAGTCTTTCTACGTCTCGGTGCTGTATTAAAATTTTACTTTTGGAACGCTTATGGTGGCACACTCCTTTAATCCCAGCGATTTGGGAAGCAGAGGCAGGAGGATCTCAAGTTCAAGGCCAGCCTCTGCAAATTAAGGAGACCCTTTCTTGAAATAAAATAAAAAGGGCTGAGGATGTAGCTCAGTGGTAGAGCACTCCTGGATTCAATTCCCAGCATTGCCAAAAAGAAAAACTTTTACTTTTGGGTTTTCCTCACTACAAAGTTACCTAGATTTTCTTACTTGGAACTGAAGTATAGTCAAGATATTGTTCGTTGCAATTCTCAAGACTAGGAGTCTGATTCACTTCTTAATATTTGGGCCAAGGGGAGTAAATGCTGACATTGGCAGGGATTGGGAGGATAAACAGGTAGGTTTCACTGATACACCTAGATTGTCGTGTAGGCATGTCTAGACTAGTGGGTACTTAGTGTTTGTTGAGTGAACACACATGCATACACCGGATGTTGGAACCCAGATCAGAATGCTCATGTTAAGAGGAAGTACCTCATCACTTAATTGGAAAGACAGATCTGGGTTAAGATATCTGCGGGCATCAGAGAAGAGTGTGCAAGGAGAGAGCCTCCCTCCCCAACTTTGCCTCCCCACCCTCCCCACAGCCTCCAGCTAACCAGGCATCAGTGGATGCCCATAGGTTTAGTTTTTTTTTTTTTTTCCTGGTGGTGTTTGGCTGATGACCAGGCTTGAGGACTCAGTTAAAATAATGGAAACTAGGAATTTCAGGCTAGGAAAGGCATTTTAGAGATCATGTGCTTCCCAGTCATGTGTCTCCTTCCACATGTTGAGTGCTGTGTATAGGGCCTCCTAACTCATGGCTTTTCCTATTCCATTGATCCTCACATGTGCCCTGCTCTGTGCCAGTTTCTGGAATATGGAGCCAAGTCAGACCTGCCACCTGCTTCCCTGCCCCTGACAGTGCCCAGACAACTTGAAGTATGGTGGGAGGGACTGGCAGGGAAACTGGCAGACATAGTAAATGTGCTGTGGAAATACCCTGGTAAGTCTATGTAAGAAAAGTGTTCTGATAGGTGGGTTAAGGAGCTGTCTAGAAAGGCATCACCTGAGGTTTGAAAGAAGAACTGTTTTCAACAAGCAGACAAAAGCAAGAATAGTTCTCTAGGCCAAAAGAACCCTGGGAGCAAAGATCAGAAAACATGATGCAGCCACAAGTGTCCCAGCAAATCACAGGAGCTTGAGATCCATACAGGGGCCCAAAAGATGGAGAGCAGAGGGAAGGGCATTTGTGAGTTAGGCTCAGGAGCTTGGACTTTGCCCTGAAGGCTATGAAAGTTGTCTAAGAGGCTTAAGCTTAGAAAGCATGACCACTGGGTAGAAAACAAATCAAAAGAAATCCATTATGGAACAAATCATGAAGCCTATCAGCAGGTGACCAGGGGGGAATGATGCATGAGCCACATCTGTGCTCCAGGGGAGGGAGGGAGATGACAGTGGCCAGAGATGTATAGGAAAGTAGAACGCAGGGGAGACATCAGGGATGGCTCGAGTAACCAGCTAGTTGTCTGGATGGATCAGTCACTGACAGGAGGGGACTCAGGATGAGGAGGCTGCAGGACCTCCATATGATGTTGTCTAAACAGGGACCATGTGTGTTGGTTCACCATGGTATCTTCCAGTGCCTAGCACAGTCCTTGATGCATATCACAGGTGATAAATATACGTATTTGTACCTGGGATTGAACCCAGGGGTGCTTAACCACTGAGGAACATCCCCAGCCCTTTTTAATATTTTATTTAGAGACAGAGTCTCACTCATGTGCTTAGGGCCTTATTAAGTTGCTGAGGCTGACTTTGAACTCGTTATCCTCCTGCCTCAGTCTCTTGAGCCACTGGATTACAGGTATGCGCCATCACTCCTGGCACTAGGTACTCAATATATATTGACATATATACTTATATATATGTCAAATGAATTGTGTGATAAAACAGGGTGTTTGGATTTGGCTGGAGTTTATCAGCCTTCAGGTCATGATGAAGCCCTGAGAGCTCTGTTGGGGACAGTATACGGAAACAGAGGACTAATGAGCACCGTTTGTTCTTAACAATACTGCACAACAGACTGAGGGCCGTTTTTCTGAGCCCCTGGCTGAGGTCATGCTCCATCTGTGGTTTTCTCAAGATGGGAAGCTTCCCTGATTGCCACATAGCCACATTGCTGCTATTCTCATGTGGCTTTGATTGCAGGCAGGTCTTTGAGGCTCACCACCCACTCCCAGAACACTGTGCATCCTCTGTGCCCACTGTAGCAGACCTCAGGTCTTCATTATATAAGTAACAAATATCCTGGCCATAAATTACAACAAAGTTCCGGTTTGGAACTGGAGTCTCGGGGTTCTACCACCACACTCCTGGGCTGCTTCAGAGCCAATTGTCTCCATCTATAGAAAGGGCTGGTCACTCCTGCCTTGCCTCTTTCTGAGGATCCAGCCAATGAATGGATGTGAAAGTGGGTATTTGGGTGGTCTAATGCTGGTTAATGACCAGTGTCCACCCATAATCTATCTGGAATGTTGGGGCACATGAAGGGTCGTCATGTTGTCACAGTGTACATGTGGCTTTTGGGTCCCCATTCATATCCATGATTTCCATGCAACTCCATGGCAGGAGGGATCACCCCCATTCCACAAAAATGCAGTTAAGACTTAGAGATACCACACAAGGAGAGAGTGATGGTCCAGCACCCACCCAAAGGATGCCAGAGTTCTTTCCTCTCTCACAGCACCTGTGTTCCTCCATCTAATAAGCATATCTTGAACACCTGCCCCGTCAAGTACTGTGCAGGGCACTTAATTTCCCTTATCTCATTTCATACTCATAACTACTCTTTGATTTCATGGATGTCATTCTCACCACAGCACAGATGAGGAAACCGAGTGGAAGACCAGAGCTTGAGCTGTGGCCAAGAAGCATGTGATATTCCACAGAACCAATTTCTACCCCCTGGGAAGAGACAGTGTCCTAGCCTCCAGTGACCTTCCCTATGTCCCACACTTAATGCTATTCTGCAGGCACAGGGCCTTGCCAACTAATCCTTGTGCTTCTCAGGCCGCCACCAAGCAAGTGATGTTGTACTGGCTGCAGCAGCTGCAGATGAAGCGCTGGGAGTTCCACAACAGCCCTCCTGCACTTCCTGCCGCCCCTGATGCCACCCTGGCTGGGAATGGGCCCACCCTGCACCTCGAGCTAGGTACTGAATAGGCTGGCCTCCTGCTGCACACCCAGGGCTGGTGGCCAAGCCTTTACCCTGCCAATGGGAGTGAGTGGGAGGAGCCCTCTGCAAAGAAAGCAGAGCACCAGGATGTGACTTGGGATTCATTAGGGCAGGGATTCGGGCTCTGAGGCCATCCCTGTGGGTGCACATCCTAATCCTATGTGATTTCAAGCAAGTTGCTTAGCCTGCCTTAGCTTCCGTTTCTTTCTCTATAAAATGAGGTTAATAAATTATCCCTGCTTCCTGAGGCTATTATGGAGAGTAAATGAATCCATACACTTGAAATGGTTAGAGCAATACCTGCACCATGTCAGTGCCCAATAGATGTTAGCTACTGTTAGGATGAGAATTTTGGGACATCTCAAGAAGTGAAACTTGCCCAGAGTGGCTGTGAGGAGGGTGAGTGAGAGAATGCAGTGTTAGCCTGGCTCCTCACCAAGCGCTTCTGTACTGGGCATTTTAGATGAGCAGTCTTATCCCTGGTGTTTCCAGAAGACAGAATCCTTTGCTCCCTGGTGACCCACAGAGAAGTGTCTTGACCCCAGATCCTAGAATATCCCCACATGGAGGAGCCTAGGAGATCACACCTGACACCCCTCAGCTGGCCCTGAAGGAGCCACAGGGATCTAAAGGGCTGCATCCCAGTTGATGGGGAGGCCAAATAAGCAAAGGCAGGACTTCTGGCCACGCATCACCTGGATGCTTTGCAAAACTGAGTACATCTGTCCTTGACCCTTGACCCAGCTTCCCTTCCCTTGGTACATGGCCCCCCCATACCCAGTTGCCCCAGCACTTGCAAGTCACCCTCCACACTTCCTCATTCTCAGGCAGCCAGTGCAGCCAGGCACCATGCTGCCCGCTCTTGCCCTCTGACCCACATGTCAGCCTCAGGCCTTCCTCATGCCACCGCCTGGTTTAGATCTCATCTCTCAGCCAGAAAAATCACAGCAGCCTCCACTCCAGTGTCTCCACTTCTATCCCTGTGCCTGAACTTGGCCCCTCACTGTGGCCCGAGTGAGCTTTCTAAAATGGGAACCTAAGCCTGGCCACCCACCATGCCGGGCCACTAAGCTCCTTGCATGGTGCCCAGGGCTCGTCTCTCCTGATCCCACTCTGCCAGCCTCCCAGCCTTCCCCCTAGTGCCCACCTTGTGTCTACACATCAGCAGCACCAGATGAGGCTCTGCTGTCCCTCTTCACCTGGCAGATTTCTGCTTATTCTCTAAGATGGAGTTCTAGTGTCACCTCCTCATCTTGTCAGCCTCCTCTTGGACACACTCTGGGACTTTCCCTCCTGGACTCTGTATGGACCCCGATACTTTTTTCAAACATTGCTAAGGAGGCATGTCACATTGTGTTCTGATTACCAGTGGCCTTGTTAGTCTCTGCCCACTAGCCTGTAAGTGCAGGGATCTTTTCTTTGTCACCTGTGTCCCAGTCCTTGGTGCTCTGCCTGGCATGAAGATATTTGTGGAGTGAATATGGGTGAACACATTGAATTTTATGATTACACAGAGGAAGGAATGTGAAGCTCATGGCATGAAGTCAGACATCTAGAAAGTGCTCAATACAAGGGAACTGTCCTAATACGATTACAATTTGTGTGCATATATATGCACATACATAAACATTCTATTATGGTCATGAGAACACACACATAAACTATTGCTATTATACTAGCATGTGCACATAATAGTGCACACACATACATGCTATTACTAGTATAATAACTGCTTCTTTGGTTATTACTAATAATCATCAATAATTCTTTCAGGCAGCCCTTTACAGAGTTTCTTTGTATTTGTACTTTTCCTTAGGCCCCAGGTCCCCCTCTGTCAGGAAGCCAGACAACCCTGGCTCTGCATAAAATGGCAGCCTGAGTTGACATAACTGCTGAAGTCAGCTTGTATCTTACTAGTCCTTACAAAAATCTCATGGGCATGATTCACATGGTACAGACTACAAGTAAGGAGAAATCCTCCTTCCTGTATGTCTTGAACTGAAATTTGAAGAACTAGGTTGTCCAAAGTGTAGCCCTGAGATCCCGCAGTCCTCTTCTGCTGTGACAAACCTGGTCTAAGTTCTTTAGTTCTGTATCTTTGCTTCAGCATACTTGGCCAGGCCTGCTGAGGGCCACCCCTGCTGAGGCCATCGGGCAGGGGGTGTGTTGCCATGATGACCAGGGCACTCACTGGTATCCCAAGGTGGATGCTAGTGTGGGACTAAGGACACAGAGACTCGGGCTCCCCTCCTGAAGCCTTTCCTTGTCTCGTAGCAAGCCCACAACCTCCTGGACCCAGGGCCTGAGAGGAAACCTTCCCAGGACCCCTGAGTGTTGTTTGTGGAGTCTTGAGCAAGCTGGCAAGGCCTGGATGGATTAGCAGCTGTCCGAGCAGGAGGCCCTTCCCCTTCCTGAGGAAACAGGGGCCACTCCCAGGCGGCAAAAACCTTCTGACCCACATCTGACTTTGACTCACAGAAGCTCCGTCTTGTAAAAATTCTTTAGTCCCTGCCTTGAGCAATCTGCAAGTCATGATCTCTACAGCATTTTAGTATTTACAACTTTATTTTGTACTTCTCCTAAACAGTGGTCTCCATAGAGTCAAGAAAGATTAAAGGGAAACCAATAGATTTATAATAACAGTACATTGTCAAGGTAAGCTTCAATATGTAGATGACATTTATATATGTCTATCATCATAAAATTATGACGTTAGAGCTTGTATCTTATTACTAGTCCTTACAAAAATCTCATGGGCATTATTCACACAGTACAGAAGAAGCAGCGGAAGCTCACTAGTTAGGAAATGTCCGCCCTGAAATTTGAACCATACTCTGTGGACTCATACACCCCTCCCAAAGCTGAGAAGGCACTCAGCCATCTGCCAAGGGCTCTCCAGGGAAGCAGTGACCTCCTGGGCCCTTTCTTGTCTAGACAGTGTCTTCTTCCCACTGGTGATGGGCAGCTCCTAGGGCTCAGGCAAAAGGAGAATTATAAACAAATGCTACCAAGTATGCATTATGTGGTCACCTCGTTGAGGGCATTTCTCCCTGGAGAAATGAGGCTAGAGAGGGCAAGGCCTTGGGTCATGTATTCTGTCTCCTATGGGAAGCATTAACCTCAGCTGTGGCATGGCCACCATGTATGACCTATCTCTTACACCCCCTGCATGAGCTTGTGCCCTCCTTGGCAACCCCTCCCATCTGTAACAGTCTCCTTTCCCTGATGAGTCATGTGGCTTAATGGGAAAAGCAAGAGGAAGACTGCACTTGAGTCCTCAACTGTCACCTGCTAGCTCTGACCTTGGCCATGAAGCTCGTGTTCTCTGAGCTGCTCTTTCCTCATTGGTAAATTGTTGGAGTTATAGGAGAGCAGATATCAGCAGTTAAGGAAGTACTTGGTAAGACATTAAAATCTTAGGAAAACTAATGTTTTGATTGTTCTGAATGAGGGAGAAGAAAGTGGTTAAAGTATTGATAAACAACAAAATACTTTGAATCAGTTCAAAGTCTGGATTAAAGAATATGCTGAAAGATTTGAGTACACATTGTGGGATTTTAGCCTTTTCTAAATAATTTTGTGTACTTTAACTCTGAAGGAGACAAGGTAGAGAGTATCCTTTCTGCTTTTTTAAAAGTGATTTCCAGCCAGGTCACAGTGTCACCCCATAGAAATGGGTTGGCCTCAGATATTCCAACCAAAGCCAGATTTAGTACTTCAGGCTCCTGCTTAAACTATACCACCTCCCCACCCACCCCCACCCCATTTGGGACCAGATGCCATCCAGCCTCTTAGCTATACTCCTTCCCATGTGACTTTCCCAACTTTCTGTCCCCTGGGTCCCTATTTGCATGCTTAGCTCTGGTTCTGGAACCTCTCCCTGCTGCCTGTATGTGACACAGAAAGATCCTCCCTTATTCCTTAGGCAGATTCAGATCAATCCCAGCCCCAAATCCCATTTCTAGCTTTCCTTCTCCAAAAGGTCTTCCCTTGCTCGAGTCGGAAGGATTCCACCTTACAGAATGGCCCCCTGCCCCAGCTCCAGCCCACCTGGTATTTCAGAAGTGTGTGCATTTTCCCCTTGCTGGCTTCCTAGGCTTTGAGCTTCCCACAGTTATGATTCATCTCACTTTTTCAGCCACACTTGGAAACCTCAGGGTAGACACCTCGTCTAGGTGTGATGAGAGGGTGAAATAAAGAGAGAACCTCAAAAGAGTGGCTTTGGTGTTTCCTGGTACTGGCCAGCCTGTGGGATCCAGTGGAGCCTATTGGGAATTAGCAAATGTGTTATCCATGCTGTTTCGGTGATTGCAGTTTTTCTTTAGTCAAACAACTCTCCTTGGCTTCCACAATTATACTTACATTTTGTACCCACACCCTCTTTACAGATGTAATGCAAAAATAAATTTCCTCCACCCCTAAATTTTTTACCATCTCAATCAAAGGGCTCCAAATAAAAATGTCAGCTGCCTTGTGAGTTTCTTAATTTGTCAAGATTGTTCCATTCCATAAGTGGTTGTGGTTCTTGTGCGCATATTGTACACTCCAAATAAACTTCTAAACATGCCACCTCCTCTCTCTTATACTTCAAATAATGTTTCCTTAGCCTGGAAACTTTTCTTAACATTAAACATTTTGAAGTCACTCACTATAGAAGAATCCTCATTTAAGCAGAACATTTGAAATACAGAAAATCAGTGTTGATGTGATAATAGGACCTCCTGCCCCCTTTTTATTTAAATGTATTTTGAATCATATAATAACACAAAATGTCCTACTTTCCCAGGTGCCGTGGCACTGAATTTTAATCCCAGTTACTCCAGAAGTTGAGGCAGGAGGATCACAAGTTTGAGGCCAGCCTCAACAAAGTAGCAAGATTTTGTTTCAAAATGAAAAAATCTAAAAGAGGGCTGGGAGGTAGCTAGTGGTAGAGCAGCCCTGAGTTCAATCCCCAGTACTGTAAAATGTCCTTCTTTGGTTTTGGTACTTAGGATTGTGACCCTGGACCTGTGTTTGAAAATCTCTTTATTAACATTTATCTTTGATGAATACATATTCTTTCTTTTGTTTATAAAAGTAAGCCATGTTTACTGCAGAAAATTTGGAGAAAAATTAATAAGAGTAGCTCACTTCTAATTCCATCATGCAGCCCTAACTTCTGTTAAAAGTATATTTCTGAGACTTTTTCTATACCCTTAGAGCATACTATAATTCCATTTTTTAAAAAATCTGGCTTACTCCATTTAGTGTTATCTCATTTATGTATCCTGTGTTCTTACACATTGCTCATTAATATAATTTTAAATAGTTGAGAATTATTTCATTTTATGAAGGCGTAATGATTTGCTTAACCTGTTCCAAGTGTTTTTGTTTTGTTTTGTGTTTGGTACCAGGGATTGAACCCAGATGTGCTTAACCACTGAGCCACATTCCAAGCCCTTTTTTGTATTTTGTTTAGAGACAATAGCTCACTGAGTTGCTGAGGCTGGCTTTGAACTTGCAATTCTCCTGCCTCAGCCTCCTGAGCTGCTGGGATTACAGGTGTGTACCATCATGCCTGGCTGGTGTTTTGTTTTGCTTTGTTTGGGTCCTAGGGATCAAACCCAAATCTTGTGCATTCTAAGCAAGCACTGTACTACTGAGTTACAGCCCTAGTTTTTAAAATTTTATTTTGAGACAGGGCCTTGCTATGTTGCTGAGGCTGGCCTTGAACTTGTGGTCCTCCTGCCTCAGCCTCCTGAGTCACTGGGAATACAGGCATGCAGAATTATTTAGTATGGATTCTCAGATGTAGAATGGTCTGCAGTTCTGCATGTTTTTAAGGGGTTTCCAGGAAGGTTTCCCTAGCAAAATGGCTTCAGAACATGCAGCACAAAGTGCTGCTTTTAACCTACAGTGGATACTCGCTGACCGTGCAGCTGCACACACCCTCCCTGATGTTGTTCAGAGATGAGCCATAGCCCTGGACTAAGTGTTTCCTAGTGCAGAGTCCTGGGGATTGATTTTTCTGTCCTTGGCTCTCCAGGGCAAGAGGAAGCAGAGCTGGAGGAGTTCTGCCCTGTGAAAACGCCCACTGGGCTCGTGGGTGAGGCAGCTGCCTTGCAACCTGTCCCCGCCATGCCCTTGGCCCTTCAGAACATCTCCCTCAAGCACCTGGGAACTGAAATACAGTAAGTGCCAGTAGGGCCCCGGGGCCGGCCTGACCCCAGCAGCCCCTTTCTGTGGAGCCTGACCTGGTGGGGTTTTGCAGGGAGGTGGGGGGATGGACAGTCACAGGCTTTAGTTTCAGTTAATTATATATATATTTAGAATACTGATCCGAAAAGAAGTACCATTGACCAAATTATACTGTTATATTGCCTTCATGTACAAATATGTAACAATGAATTCCACTGTTATGTATAATTATAATGCACCAATAAAAAGGGGGATAAAAAGTAGTACATGTTCATTGTAGGAAATTAGAAACTTCTGAAAGGAAATAATGAATGACTTACTCATAATTCTATAACCCGGACAGACATTCATAGCAATTTTTTTTCCCATAGTACTGGGGATTGGACCCAGGGCTTAGCTTGGGCTAGACCAGTTCTCTACCACTGAGCTACAACCCCTGCCCTTCCTATTTTTTTGTTTGAGACAGGGTCTTGCTAAATTGCCTTGGCTGGCCTCAAACTTGAGATGCTCCTGCCTCAGCCTCCCAGGTACCTGGAATTATAATGTGATGGTTTCAGAATGTCTGTGTCAAATTATTCTCTTATCATGTGCAACTTATTGTATGTTAAGCAGATGTGAACTGTGTTTTTCACTTAATTCTGTATTACATATACCCTTTCCCAGTATCAGGCTTTATTTTAAACTGCATAAAAAGATAGCAGTATGAACTGGGTGCAGTAGCACATACCTGTAATCCCAGACGCTCAGGAGGCTGAGGCAGGAGGATCATGAGTTCAAAGCCAGCCTCAGCAAAAGCAACTCAGTGAGACCCTGTCTCTAAATAAAATCTAAAATAGGGCTGGGGATGTAGCTCAGTGGTTGAGTGCCCCTGAGTTCCCTGGTATACCGCCCCTCCCCGCCACATACACACAAAAGATAGCAGTATGGACTGAGCCTTGGGGCCAAAGTGCCTGTGTTTGGATCCTGGCTCTGTCAGTCATGAGCTGTGCTGCCCTTGACAAGTTGTTTGCTTTCTCTGTGCTTTAGTAACCTTGTTAGTTCCTGAAGCACAGCAGTGATTGCCTCTTAAGGTTCATGTCGGACTGAGTGGCTGAATGCATGCAAACTGCTCTAGAACTAGACTTGGCAATCACAATCCTGTAATAAATCCTTTCCGAAGCTGCCATAGTTGCTCTAGTGAAAGGAATAGAAACTTTCAGGAATGCAAACTATGCCCAATGCTGATCCTGTTTGGGCGTCTGTGTTCTCTGTGGACTTTGGACACACTGGGACCTCTTAGAAGACAGAATAGATTGCTCACTGGACTTGGATTAGGGGCCCCAACTGTGTGTGACTCAGGCAAAGTATATTCCTCAGTTGGCTTCAGTGATTTGGGGGGACTAGAGTGGTGATGATACCCTTCCTAGGAGAGAAGCAGGTGTCAGAGGAAAGATGATGAGTGAGTGTCCTTTGGGGTTGCTGGCTGGAGGCAGAGCTACCCCAAAGACATTTAGACAGGAAGCCCTGGAGCCTGAGGAGAGATGGGAGCTGGAGCTAGTGTCTTGGGGTCATGTGTAGTCTGGTTGAGCCCCCCAGGTGCGTGGGCCAGGGGGATATGCTGCAGGGGACTGTCCCTCTCGAGAAGCTGAGAGGAACTGGGTGCACTAGGAGCATGCTGGGAAAAGGGGAGGCCTGCCACCCAGGCAGTGTGCACCCAGGGCAGCTCACCAAGATTAGGCTGGGTTCATGCTGGTGGAAGACACAGCAACAGAAATGGCACAGAGAAAACACAGAGACTGAGAAGGGAAGGAAATTTCAGAGCATCGCTCAGTCACTTCCCTCCTGTAACTTGTGATAGCCACAGGCATGAAGCAAGAGGAGTGCCTGACTGCTGAGAGCCCCAGCAGCCCTTGGATAAGACCAGAGATAAGTTCTGATGTAAGAGCAGAGCTGCCTTTGCCCTGGCAGGTTTGGGAGCTTGTCATGGGTGCTGCGGTGAGCGCAGGTCATACCAGGGGAAGGGCTTAGAGAGCTTCCTGACCACTGTGTGGGATGCTTTATGCTCTCATCCTGCTGTCTGGACAGATCTGTGAAGTGGTGTCATTGCGTGGTTAAGCTCTCGAGCCAAGGAGTTAGACATCCAGGTCTGACACTCAGCTGCCACTTACCAGCTCTGTGGTTTTGGTTGCCGGTCCCCTTGGGATCTCAGTTCTGCTCGTCCGGTGGGTCTGACCATAGTGCTTATTTCATTGAACTGTTTCACGGATGAAATGAGTGAAATGCCTTATAGTGTTTTGGCTTAGAACTTGGCCCATGGAGGGGCCCAGCCACTGTTTGGTGTGGATATGTTCATTGCCCCCATGGCGATGAGCAAACTGAGGCTCAGGGAGGAAACTGACTGGCCCAATGTTATCCCTTGAGTATAAGCCTCTATAACCATCAGTGCGGTGCTGGCCAGGCCTTTCAGAATGGAGCAGACCTGCACAGAAAATGCTCTACAAATTGCTCCAAGTGAAGTTGGTACCTGTATGAAACAGAGATCTCTTCCAAGAACACTGGCTTAGAAGAGCAGCGGCCAGCAGCACTGTCTGAAGGTAGAGCGCTCCCATCCCAGGGGAGATACGTGCGAATAGGGCTCAGAAGGCCCTTTGCTGCCCTAAAGTTGGGGTTTCTTCCACACCCCAGGGATGACTAGTCACATGTCCTGGGACATATTAGGGAGGCTACCATTCTGGGGCAAGAGGAAATGTTGGCAACAATGATAATTACCCCACCCTTCAGTGCCTCTGGCTCCAGGGATGTGCCCCTGGCTCCCTTTCTAATTTATGTGGCTTATAGTTTGTGAAATCTGTGTGGCAGGGCTCAGCACAAAGTGATATAAGTAGCAGCTCCCATCATTGTCGTCATTATTCTCTCCTTCTCGCTTTTTTGTTTTCCTTCTTGAAACTAGGTCTCACTAAGTTGCTGAGACTGCCCTCAAACTTGTGATCCTCTGCCTTGGCCTCCTGAGTAGCTGGGATTGCAGGTGTGTGTAGCTGGGATTGCAGGCGTGTGTCACCACACCCAGCATCGCTGTTCTTTTTAGTGTGCCCACCACTCCTTAATTTTTACATGGGGAGAGTAAGAACTAGGAAGGGGAAGTAGCTGGGCCAAGGAGTCAGGGCCCCTTAGTAATACAGGGCAAAAGGAGTGTGAGAGCAAATTCCAAGGTCAAGTACTAAGAGTGCTGAATTTTAATTTCTTTTCTGCTCATAATTAACTGATGAATTTTACCTTCCATCAATCCATGAAAGTATAGTCTCGTTCTTGTTCTTATTCTGGATCTGACTATACCCGAAATCTGGGTTTTAAAACTTAAATTTCAAACCAAATGGTTTTTCTTTGAAAAGATTAACAAAATCAACAAACCTTTAGATAGATGGACCAAGAAAAAGGACAAAGTTCAAATTACTAAAGTCAGGAACAAAAGAAGAGGCATTACTACTGATCTTACAGAAATAAAAAGGAATATAAGGAATTCTATGAACAATTATATATGCCAACAAATTTGATAACTTGGATACAATGGATTATTAGAAACAAATTACCAGAACTGACTCAAAACAAATTTGATAACTTGGATACAATGGATTATTAGAAACAAATTACCAGAACTGACTCAAAGAGAAATAGAAAATCTGCATAGACCTTGTAAATAGTAAAGAGATTGAATTTATAATATAAAATAAGTCAGGCCGGGTATGATGACACACGCCTGTACTCCCAGCTCCTTAGGAGGTGGAGGCAGGAGGATCATAAGTTTGGGGCCAGCCTGGGCAACTTACTTAGAAACTATCTCAGAACTAAAAATAAAAAGGGCTGGGGTTGTAGCTGAGCATTTAGCTGGCATGTGTGAGGTTCTAGGCTCTGTAGGTTCTATCCCCAGTCACCATCCCTCCCCACAACAAAACCTCAGGACCAGGTGTCTTCACTGGTGAATTCCACCAAACATCTAGAGTAGGAGGAAGTGCTATTCTCCCATCATGGTGTATCAAGGGAGTTAATATTTGCAGAACAGCAATCTAATCTACATTCCTCTTCCTTTTCATTCCCACTGAAGTTTCAAGTCCTTGGGGGATTCCCCTTCTTTTTCTAGGATTTGAGCTAAGTGTTTTAAAACTTGGTTTTGTATTTATTCAACATATAGATATTTGTGGAATGAAAGCTCTTCAAAGTGATGTGTCTGTCATATTAATAGAAGCGTGTATCACACACAGGGACAATAGAACAAAGTCAGGTCCTTCACATGGCTGTGGAGACTTTCACATCCTCTTATTTACTTCCATCCACTAGATCTCCTTAGTGTGGTGTTTTTCAAACTGTTGACCATAGTAAGAAATGCATTTTTAAAATATTGAGATTTGAACCCAAAGGGTGCTTTGCCACTAAGCCACATCCCTAGCCCTTTTTATTTTTTATTTTGAGAGAGAGTCTCACTAAGTTGCTAAGGGCCTTTCTGAGGCTGGGCTTGAACTTATGATCCTCCTGTCTCAGCCTCCTGAATCACTGGGATTACAGGTATACACAATGACACACCCATGCCCAACAGAAATGCATTTTTTGTTATAGCTCGGTACACATACATGTAATTCACAAAATATAACACTAAGTGGTGTGCACTCTGATATTTTTTATTTCATTTTAAAAGTGCTAGTCATGACACCGAACTGATTTGATAATCTACCAACAGGGCATAACCTACAGTTTGAAAAAACTGACATAGTCAACTCCTTTAATCACCTTCTCTCCCTTGCTGTCAGTTTTAGACTATATCTGCTTTTATCTCTTTGCAAGAGAAAATAAACTCAGGAGAGCTGTCTTTTCACATGGCTCATTGTGAATGTCTGTGGACTGTGCTCTCAAGCGGCCTTCAGTGCTGCCTCGCACCTTCCTGGAAACCACTGAGCCTGGGCATGCCCACCCCAGTGCCAGGTACTTAGTGCCAAGTTCTTAAAGAAATTGATACCATGGAGCCTCAGCCTAGACCAGTACTTGGCCAAATCATGAAACATAGTAAATTCCTTGGAGACTGAGTCAGTAGAGGGTACAGAGAGGACAGATCCCAGAGGGGAAGGAGCAAAGGGGTGAGGGATGAGAATGCCAGGAGGTGCTTGCAATGTATCCCAGCAGAACTGGGAGCCATCAGTGGTTTTTGAGTCAGGTAGTTCTGAGGTCAGATGGAGGTTTCTAGAAAGTTAGTTCAGCAAGTCCATTCAATATTTGTTCAACACATAGGTATGAAGCACTTCTATATTTCAGGCACTGCTGTAGGCATTCTGTATCCACCCATAAACAACAGGCAAGCATGAAGTGCACAGTCCAGCCGCAGGGTTGGGGGAAAGGGAGTGAGGCTTATCTAAGCCATGCTGGGTGTGGAAGGGGTGAATGAGAGGGAGGGGACTGGGAGTGGCATGTGTGACTGGGGGTGAGGCCTGAGTTCCATCAGGCACAGGAAGGGTGTCAGCCTCACGCTCCTCACTTCTCCTTTCAGAAACACCATGCACAATATCCGTGGCAACAAGCAGGTGTCAGGAACAGGCCACGGATCTCTAACAGAAGACTCTCCACAGAGTGTGGAGCCTCAGAGTGGGGAGCAGGCCTCAGGCATGGATCCTGGCACCCCAGGTGAGCGTCTGAATGAGATGAGTGCCCTCCCTCTTCCTTGCCAGGCGTGTGTCTGACTTAGCCATAACTGTGTGGCTTGGTGCCACTTATTTCTCACAGCTGAATGGAGGCTGGGAAGTCCAAGATCAAGATGCTGCAGATGCACTGTCTGGTGAGGACCCTCTTCCAGGCTGAAAGAGAGAGCTGTGGTCCCTTCCTCTTCTCCTAAGGGCACCAATCCTATCATGGGGTTCCACTGATCACTTCACAAAGGCCCTGCCTCCTGACACTGTTGCTTTGGGGATTAGGGCTTCAACCTAGGGGTATGAACATTCAGTCCATCAGTGTGTGTCAAAGACCAAATTCTCTAGGTCACTCCTTCTCCTGGATTTCCAGAGGTTGAAGAACAGTGATTTTTTTTTCTCTTTTTTTCTTCCTTTTTTTGGTGATAAAAGATACAGAGCAGGATTTTGTCGGGTGCAGTGGCGCACACTTATGATGCCAGCAGTTGCAGAGGCTGAGGCAAGGAGGATCGCGAGTTCAAAGCCAGCCTCAGCAATTTAGTGAGGCCCTAAGCAACTAAATAAAATATAAAAAAAGAGGGGCTGGGGTTGTGGCTCAGTGGTAGAGTGCTTGTCTACCATGTATAATGCACTGAATTTGATCCTTAGCACCACATAAAATAAATAAAATAAAGGTATTGTGTCCAACTACCATCAAAAAATAAATAAATAAATAAGGGCTGGAGATGTGGCTCAGTGGTTAAGTGCCCTGGATTCAATCCCCAGTACCAAAATAAATAAATAAAATAAAATATATATTTATATATAAAATATACACACACAAGATTTAACACTCACTGATTGTACTCCCCCCACCCCCCCGCCGGTGGGATTGAACCCAGGGCCTTGCATATGGTAGGCAAGTACCAGTGTACTACCACTGAGCTGCATCTCCAGTCCCACTGTACCACTTAGTGGTAAGTGAGGATGTACAGATACTCCTCAATTTATGCATAGGGTAATTCCTGGGACAATTAAAACCAGATCTGCCTGAAGAAGTGGAACAAGGCACCTTTAGGTTGACACAGCATTTCATTGTTTCTGTCACAAAATGTGAATGCCCCATACCATCAGAGAGGGTTGGCTTCTTGAATTGGCATTGGTACCCTTAGAATGTATATTACACTAGAATCAACTGGGAGAAAACTAGCTAAGACAGCAACAGTGTGGGGTCTTCTTAAGGCAGAGATGATCCTTGGGCTGTGAAGGTGACCCTTTGCAGCACCCAGTACCCCATAAGGCTCCTGGAGATCACAGTGACCAGTCCACAAAGAAGTCAGTGCTGTCTCAAACCAACAAGACTAATAACAAACTAACACTCTGTGGCAGGCACCTTGTGCTGGGCTGCACTAAGCACTCTTTTTGGTAACAACTTTATTAAAGCATAATGCACATGGCATACAATCTGCCCATCTAAAGGATGTAGTTCATTATCCAACCATCATTCTAATCAATTTGGGGCATTTTTATTTCCCAGAAAGAAACATTGCACCCCTGAACCATCAAGCCCAGTACCCACCTCCCTCCAGCTGTAATCTGCCATCTGTCTCCATGCATGTGCCTGCTCTGAGGTTTCCTGTGAATGGAATCTATAACTTGTGGCCCTTTCTTTGTGACTGGCTCCTTTCATTTAGCAGAATCTTTCAGGTTTCATTCATGTGCATGTGTTAAGCATTTAAACTACATGGACCTGTAAATCCTTACAGCAACCGGCACTGTAGATACTGTTGCTATCCTCCTGTGATAAGTGAGGAAACTGAGGCACATAAAAGTGGAGTGACTTGCTCATGACCACACAGTGAGTGACAGACCAGGATTGAGGCCAAGCCTTCTGGCCCCCTGGCTGCCTGCTGCCTCATCTAAATTAGTGGTTTTTAAAACTAGAAGTGGTCCCTGACCTATGATGGTTCAACTTAAAATTCTCGTCTTTACAAGAGACCAAGAGTAATGTGAATTCAGTAGAAACTGTATCTTGCTTTTTTTTTTTTTTTTTTTTTCTTTTGAGGAACTGTGGATTGAACCCAGGGCTTTGTGCATTTTAGACAAGAGCTTAAATTGCTGAACTACTTTGATGTCTTCCCTGGCTAGCAATATGCAGTATGATACTGTCACTCAACACAGAGCAGTAGCAATGAGCCCCAGCTTCTGGAAAGCCATGTGATCATGAGGGGACACAGTGCACTGTGTCCCTAAACTGGGATGTTCCATAGGTCAGGTGAACTACATGCATTTTCTATATATGCTGTTTTCAACTTAGAATGAGTTTATCAGGACATAATCAACACATAAATTGAGGAGTATTTGTACATCTTCACTGCCATGACACTTTGACCCCCAAATAAAATCTAATATACAAAGCACAGTTGAAACAGGGATAGGAATCTGGGCCCCTCTGCTCCTCTCACCCTGCCCCACCCTCCCAGTCACTCTAGGGGCACTCCCACAACATCCTAGGGACCAAACCACTGCCCGAGGCTTGTTATCTCTGACTACCAAATGGGAACAGTGGTCCCTCCCCAGCTTACCCTCAGGGTTGGTGGACAGTGGTGTAGTCAGAGGGCCACTGGGCTGCAGGGAGCTCTCATGCTCCTGGACAGGACCGGGAAGGAGGCTCTGAGTCCTCTGAGCTCTGCGCTCCACTTTGTACCTGCACAGCTGAATTTCTCTTAGATCTGGAACAAGATCACTCTCTCTTGTACCCAATGAGGCTGAGAGGTATGTGGGTTCTGTTACCTACAAAGAGTAATTCCTTATTTGGCTGCACCCAGCCTGGCCTCCAGGAGGACATTTAGTCCTTCCTCCAACCCCTGCCTGTTGCCTATCCTGGGTCCCACACCACGTCCTTATTTTTAACATCTTTAGCACCTAAGTCCAAAAAATGATTGGTGATAGTTTACTAAAATGCATATCAGGGAAAAAAACAAGTCATTTAGGCTAGGAAATTTACATAAGATCCTGTTAAGATCCTAAGAAAGCACCTAAAGGTAGGGAACAGATGTGGTGCTGAACTTCCCAGCAGCCAACAACAGGGACATGCAGGTGGCTAGTGTGTTTCCAGTGTCCATCAGACTAAAGACACATTTTCTTTTCTTTTTTTTTTTTTAAGCTAAAGAGGCTTTTTATTGATTTTTGAGGAAAATCCTTTATTTATTTGGTTTTACTTAATTGGACAACAAAACTTAAAATGATAGCTAAAATATATAAATGTGTAACTTGGAAAAGAAATTGAACTTACCCAAGTGTTTTATTCATATTGAGACATTAACATTGGCAGGTTGTGAAATTAATTCAAATGTTTTCTATTAACTCCATGGGAGAAAAATTCAGTGCAACTGAGTGCTAGACTCATAGCTGTGGTTGAAACCTCAATGAAATGAAAAGTTTCTTGTCAGTCTCCAAAAACAACAGCCCACAGTTGATGTGGTTGATTGTGTCAACGACCAAATAGCACTGGCAGGAAGGGGTGAGGGGATGCACTATAATTCAACTCAGCTATTCTCTAAATATTTTTTAGATTTTTACATTTATTTTTTATTTTACTTGTTATATATGACAGCAGAATGGATTACAGTTCATATTACACATATAAAACACAATTTCTCATATTTCTGGTTGTACACAAAGTATATTCACACCATTTGTGTCTTCATACATGTACTTAGGGTAACGATGACCATCTCATTCCACCGCCTTTCCTACTGTTTTCCCCTCCTTTCCCCTCCCACCCATTTGCTCTATCTAGAGTTCATCTAATCCTCCCTTGCTCCCCCTCCAATCCCCACTATGAATCATTCTCCTTATGTCAGAGAAAACATTCAGCATTTGGTTTTGGGGAATTGGCTAACTTCACTTAGCATCATATTCTCTAACTCCATCTATTTACCTGCAAATACCATGGTTTTATTCTCTTTTATTGCTGAGTAATATTCCATTGTGTGTGTGTATATATGTATGTATGTGTGTGTGTGTGTGTGTGTGTGTGTGTGTATTACATTTTCTTTGTTCATTCATCTACTGAAGGGCATCTAGGTTGGTTCCTCAGTTTAGCTATTGTGAATTGTGCTGCTATAAACATTAATGTGGCTGTGTCCCTGTAGTATGCTGTTTTTAAGTCCTTTGGGTATACACTGAGGAGAGGGATAGCTGGCTCAAATGGTGGTTCCATTTCTAGTTTTCCAAACAATCTCTGTACTGCTTTCCATATTGGCTGCACCAATTTGCAGTCCCACCAACAATATGTTAGTGTGCCTTTTCCCCCACATCCTCGCCAACACTTATTGTTGTTTGTATTCTTAATAGCTGCCATTCTGACTGGAGTGAGATGAAATCTTAGAGTAGTTTTGATTTGCATTTCTCTAGTTGCTAGAGATGTTGAACATTTTTTCATATATTTGTTAATTGCTTATATATTGTCTTCTGAGAAGTGTCTGTTCAGCTCCTGGCCCATTTATTGATTGGGTTATTTATTTATTTATTTATTTTGGTGTTAAGATTTTTTAGTTCTTTATATATCCTAGAGATTAGTGCTCTATCTTTTGTGCAAGTAGTAAAAATTTGTTCCCATGCTGCAGGCTCTCTATTCATCTCACTGATTGTTTCTTTTGCTGAGGAGAAGCTTTTTAGTTTGAATCCATCCCATTTCTTGATTCTTGTGCTATAGGAGTCTTATTAAGGAAGTCAGGGCCTAATCCGACATAATGGAGATTGGGGCCTACTTTTTCTTTTAATAGGCGCAGTGTTTCTGGTTTAATTCCTAGGTCCTTGATCTGCTTTGAGTTGAGTTTTGTGCATGGTGAGAGACAGGGGCTTAATTTCATTTTGTTGCATATGGATTTCCAGTTTTCCCAGCACCATTTGTTGAAGAGGCTATCTTTTCTCCAATGTATGTTTTTGGCGCCTTTGTCTAATATAAGAAAACTGTAATTATGTGGGTTAGTCTCTGTGTTCTCTATTCTGTACCATTATTCTACAAGTCTATTTTTGTGCCAATACTGTGCTGTTTTTGTTACTATTGCTCTGAAGTATAGTTTAAGGCCTGGTATGGTGATGCCACCTGCTTCACTCTTCTTGCTAAGGACTGCTTTAGCTATTCTGGGTCTTTTATTTTTCCAGATGAATTTCATGACTGCTTTTTCTATTTCTATGAGGAATGTCATTGGGATTTTGATTGGGATTGCATTAAATATGTATAGTGCTTTTGGTAGTATGGTCATTTAAAAAAATTTTTTTTAGTTGTCAATGGACATTTATTTTATTTATTTATATGTGGTGATGAGAATTGAACCCAGGGCCTCACATGTGATAGGCAAGTGCTCTATCGCTGAGCCACAACCCCAGCGCTAGTATGGTCATTTTGACAATATTAATTCTGCCTATCCAAGAACAAGGTAGATCTTTCCATCTTCTAAGGTCTTCTTTCTTTCTTTAGTGTTCTGTAGTTTTCATTATAGAGATCTTTCACCTCTTTCATTAAGTTGAGTCCCAAGTATCTTTTTTTTGAGGGTATTATAAATAGGGTAGTTTTCCTCATTTCCCTTTCAGAGGATTTGTTGCTGATATACAGAAATGCCTTTGATTTATGGGTATTGATTTTATATCCTTCCTCTTTGCTAAATTCATTTACTAGTTCTAGAAGTATTCTGGTGGAATTTGGGTTTTCTAGGTATAGAATCATATGGTCGGCAAATAGTACTAATTTGAGTTCTTTTCAACTGTCTGTATCCATTTAATTTCTTTCATCTGTCTAATTGCTCTGGCCAGTGTTTTAAGAACTATGTTAAATAGAAGTAGTGAAAGAGGGCATCCCTGTCTTGTTACAGTTTTTAGAGGAAATGTAAAGACACGTTTTCTTAGAAGAATCAAAACAGCTTTACCTAGCACAGAGGGCTGAGGGAATTTCTGTGCTAGGACTTCATAACAAGTAATGACGTTTGTCCTGTGTGAACATGCTTCTTCATGTCCCTTGACCATGTAATTGGGTCACTGAATGTCCTGGGTGTAGGCCAATGGCAGTGTCCCAAAGCATGGGAGTGTATGGGATGGGACAGACAATGAGAATGATTCTTTGATGTTCAATTTGATTCAAGAATATAGTTTTTAGAGCCTGGTGTAGTGGCACATGCCTTTAATCTCAGCAACTCAGGCAGCAGAGGCAGGAGGATCTCAATTTTGAGGTCAACCTTGTCGATTTAATAAAAATAAAAAATGGCTGGGGGTGTAGCTCACTGGTAGAACACTTGATAACATGCATAAGGCCTGGGCTCAATCCCCAAAACCACCAAAAACCAAAAAAAATGAATACAGGTTAGTGACTTAAAAACAATGGTTGGCAAATATTTTCTGTAAGGAGACTTTTCTATAAGTAAATAGTTGAGGCTTGCAAGTGCTCAGCTTTCCCTTTGTGAAGTGAAAGCAACCATGGACAAATGTGACCAAACGGGCTTGGCTGTGTTCTAATACAATTTTATTTACCAAAGTGGGCTGTGGGTTAGATTTGGCCTGTGGACTGTAGGCTGCTGGTGCCGGCTCTAGAAGAAATAAAAGAATTATGTGGGGCTGCGGCTGGGCTTGGTGGTGGAGTGCTTGCCTAGTACATGTAAAGCACTGGGTTTGATTCTCAGCACCACATAAACATAAATAAAAGTATTGTGTCCATCTACAACTGAAAAAAATTTTTTTAAAAAGGACCAGGCAGCTTTGGGGCCATCAACTGTGGGAAACCTGTCTCATGACTTAGCTTGCAATAAGAATCAAAGGAGAGCTTGAACTGCTTTCTGGAATAAGAATGTAGAGTAGCTCTTCATCCCAAGCTGCTATCAACAGATAGATCTGCTTTGAAAGTCACCCAGAGGGTAGAGGTGGGATTCTGTAGTGAGAAGCAAAATGTTGTAAGGCTTGTGCCTGAGGACTTTGCCCCCGGCAGACCCCAGCCGGGTGGGATGACAGACTCATGAGGGTCGGGGTCACCTCTGACAGGACACAGAATGGGCAGAATGGCTCAGCCAACAGAGTGCCCTCAGGTGCTGCTGAGGCCGAGTCCTTGGGAAACAGTCTATTCCTTCGAGAACAGTCTGGACGGAGCCTAACCTCAGCATTTCTCCTCTTGGACAGGGAAAGAGCCAGCGGATTCTCCAAAACCTGCACCCAAGTTTTCCCTGACCACCTGTCTCACGCAGAAAACCAAGTGCCAGAGCAACACCTTCCCCTTCTTTTCTGAAGGGCTACGGAACCGAACTGCCCAGGAGAAGGTGGTAGCGTTGGAACAGCAGGTGGAGGTGCTAACCAAGGAGTTAAAGTCCCAGAAGGTGAGCACTGCCTCCCTGCAGGCCTCGGGCCCCAGAGGCCCCCTGGCTGGGAGCCCTGTGGAGATGGACAGCTCAAGGTGATGCGCAGCTGGCCAGTCTGTGGTCTTTAGAGGACCAGCTGCAGGAGGTTGAAAATGCAGCCCATTGTTGATTACTCAGGGACGTGCTGTCACTCAAACTCTGTGACAAATGGCCACCAAGAGCAGGGATCTCTGGAGAACTACTTTAATAATTGTCTCTTGGACCATTCCTGGGGTGTTCTGACCCAACACCTGAGGAAGGGCCATGTTTGGAGGGGGTGTTCTGGATGCAGGGTCTTGGGAGGGGTCACTGACAGAACTGGGGGACCTTGGACCTGAGCTGGCAGTGACTGCTGGATGCAGATATCTGAAGGACTCTCGGAAGATGGAGAAAGCTGGCAGGGTGTGGCCCAGGGCTGAGCCAGGGCCACTTGTACAGTGACAAGGAGGAAGATTCAGACTTAACATAGTGAGAAGTTCATGATGGGAGTTACAGAAGGAAGAGCCATGAGGCCATTGTGGAAGACAGACCCCACACAGCCAGACACATTCAGATTGTTCAGAAGTTCAGCCCAGAGGAAATGAAGTGCTCGGGCTACTTCATGGAGAAGTGGGTGGGTCATGGCAGGGATACAGGGGGGCTGCCGCGCTGGGCAGGAGCCTCTCGTTAGCATGGTAAAAGCAACTCAGGGAGCACTGCTGTTACCCTAAATCCTAAGTGGGAGACCTGGGGGCCTCAGGAGCTGCCTCACTGAGAGCCCAGACTCGTCTTCCTCTGGGAGGAAGGCCTAAGCGTTTGTTGGAGCTTGGCCTCGGTCCCTTGCTGCTCCACTTACTGGCTGTAGCTCCGTAGCTACAGACTGGGGAGTTGTGGGGAATGTATTTTACTAACTGCTGGATATCCTCTCTTTCTTTTTTTCCTTTCTGCTCTGTTTTTGGAGAAAACAATCCAGAAAAATGCTCTATTTACCTAGTTTTGCTCCTTTCCTGCCTCAGAGCAGTGACCCCTGTGAGCAGATCTAAGGGGAACTGATAGAGGTTTCATTGCTGTAGGTCAGAGGTTGCGTTCAGTGAAGTAGCTGACAGTGGGAGAGGCTTGCTCTTTCCTCTGTTCCCAATTCATTTGTGTATTCACCAAGTCTTTCCTGAGGGCCTGTGAGATATGTGCAGTGTTGTCTGTGCTGGGAAAGAACAGCGAGAAGGACAGAGACCAACTTTACAGGACCTGTGTTTCATGGCAGGGACAGGCGTTGTGTTTAAACAAATCAATGCTCCAAGACATAATTAGAGCTTGTGAAATCCCCTCTGATGCCGCTGCGGGGCCGTGGCGGTGATGTGGGAACTCGGGTCTTCCTTCTGCCTCAGCCTCTCTTCTCCCCGCCATCTTGGTGTTCCTGTCATGAGGCTGCTTCGTGCTTCTGAGAGCCGAGAGAGCACTGAGCTGAACCGCAGCAGCTGCCTGCTCCCTGGACTAGCGCACTGAAGTCCCAGAGGGAGAGGCTCGGCCTTCCCCACATCTCCCCTTATTCCTGGACACACGGGCCACCGCCTTGGCCTAGCCTTTCTTTCTAAGGAATGATGAGTTGCTCGATGTGGCCCACAGGCCCTGGGAGGCTGGATGCAGTCAGGTTGGCCCTGGCTGCTGTCCCTGGAGGACTCTCCCTCCTTCCATAAGCAAAGGCAAGACTCTTGGAGGTTTGTAAGGGTTGCCCAGGCTGTGGACAACTCCCTGAAGTTCAGAGGGAAAGGTCACGAGGAAGTTGTTCAGGTCTTTTAAAAATCTGGATTTTTTTTTTTTTTTAAACTAGGTAACTTCCCAGTAAACCTCAGCTCTGTTCTGGGACAGGTGGTGGAGGGGACTGAACCTTGCGTGGCCTTCAATTGAGGATTGCTGTGCTCCAGCCTCCCCCGTGCACTTCATTCAGACTGGGTTCTGAGCACAGGCCTTCACATGAGACGGCACAGGCCCAGATTCTGGCCATGAGCAATGGCTCCAGCCTCTTTGCTCTTGTGTGGATGGAGTTGTAGCCATAGTTACTGGAGAGCCCTGTGTCTGGATCGGGAGGCCAGTGCCCGGCACCCTGCAGCTGCCCAGCAGAGGCAGCTGTGGGCTATTACTGCGTCATTCCTGGTCCTCAGCATTGATTCTTCTTGTCTAACAAGGAGCAGGATGCCCTGTAAGAGGCCCTGAGAAGGTGGCCAAGTGAGCCCATCAGGGCCTCCAGGAAGCATGCGCATGGGGCCAGAGCACTGACATGAGAGCTTGGGTCTCCATTCATTCCTGCCCCATGGACTTGGGTTTCACTTACAGCCCAGAGAGCAAAGCCAAAGAGGAGAAGGAGAGCAGGAGACCAGCTTATACTCAAGGGCAGACACAGGAAGGTGGGGCAGAGGAGACCTGACTCAGCCTCTGGGTGTCCAGCGGTTGCTCAGACACTACAAGCGCTGGGTGGGGACCTTGGGCCAGTTCCTCAGAGGGCAGGCAGCCCCTGGATTTCCCAGTGAGATGATTTCCTGTGTCTCTGTGGTAGGAAAGAAAGGAGTCTTGTACCACTAACTTCATGAAGATGGGCTGCCAGGGGTCTTAACCTAGTTCAGTCAGTCAGGAAGCCCTTGCCAATGGTGTTAGTGACCCTGTAAGAATTTGTATTTCAAACTCTGACGCTGCAGAGGGCAAATGAGGATCAAATCCCTACCCTCGGGGACCTCACTGTTCAGTGGGAAGAGATAATCTGAGCATATTAACGGCTGGCATCGACCATGGTGCCACCACAGTTCTGGGGCTCTCAGTGTGTCATCTCTAGTTCTCATGACAGTTACCATCTTTTCCTGAAGAGGAGGTCTGAGAGCTTCTACATGCCTGAGGCTTCGTGGGGGCTGGGCCAGGGTTTGGCTCTTGTTTGTCTGCCTCTGGAGCTTCTGACCTTTCACAAAGTCATGCTTGAGGGTCTAAGAGAAGCTGAGTGACTTGCCTGAGGTCACCCACAGGAAGAGCCAGAACTGGGGCCCTGGTCCTCTGCTCCAGGTCTGGGTGCCCCTCCCAACCCAACTGTGCCCCTCCCCCCTGTCTCATGGCCCAGGATTAGATGCAAAGGACTGCTCTTTGGAAAAAAATAAGTGTGCCCCTGCGCCTTCCTGGTGTCACATGGAACCATGGCAACTCTGATACCCAGGAAGCCATTATCTGTCCTGGCACCTGCAGGGCTGGCCCCATAAAGGTTCAGACTGCAGGAGTCGGTGCCAGGTGGCTGACTGGCCAGGTGACTAAAGCCTGAGGAGCTGCAGCCAGCCTGAAAGCCATCTGCTCTGGCAGGTGGCAGGCTGTTGTCCAGTGGTGTTGGCCATCTGTTCACTGCCAGGAAGGCTGAACCCCTCTGGGATTCTGTGGGGCCACCTTGGCTCTCTGGGATTACTTGGTAAAGACATAATTTAGGAAACGTGGTGGGGACAATGTGTGGCCCCTTTCCTGGAACTCCGCAGGAGACTTCAGAGTACTTGTCCCTGGCTGTGGGCTCAGACAGCCTCGGGGGAGGCTTGTGAAGCACCTTGGCTGTTTTTGCCTGGGGGGGACATACTTGCTTTCTTATACTTGGGGCAACTCTGCATGGAGCAGGGGGTCTTTATCTCCATCCTAGTTACAGGAAAACTAAGGTTCAGCCTGAGCCCCCCCTTGTTAGAAAAGCCCTCATAGGTCTGGAATGGGGACTGGGGTTGGTCAGATTGGGGTTTTTGTTTATGCCACGCTACTGTACCTGAGATAGGTTGCTTTATTTAATTATTTATGGTGGCAGAATCCCAACCAGCGCAGGCCATCCCAATGGCAAGGGACAGGGAGCATTTGATGTATCAGTATCTCTTTTAGTCTCTCTCCCTCTTATAAAGCTTCCCAAATCCAGTCACAGGGGCTCCACCCTAATACTTTAGCTAATCCTATGCACCTCCAAAAAGCCACACGTGGAAATGCCACCCTCTTAATACCTCACCATAGGGATTAAATTTCAACACACATTCCCTGGGGACACTCAAACCATCCACGACCACAGCAGGATTTGAGGCCATGTGACTCCAAAGCTGGTGATACTTTGCCTGGTCTCTCTTGGACCCACCCACCTTAATTTTATTGATGAAAATATCAGTGCTTTAATAAAACAAAGGATTATTGTTTAAAGATAATTTATTGACTTTTAAAAACGTAAATAAAATGACAACTTGCAACCAGCACAGTGACATATTCCTGTAATCCCAGTGACTCAGGAAGCTGAGGCAGTAGGATTGCAAGTTCAAGGCCATCCTGGGCAATTTAGCAAGACCCTGTCTCAAAATAAAAAGGGCTGGAGATGGGGGCTGGGGCTGTAGCTCTGTGGCAAACCACCCTGGGTTCAATCCTCAGTACTAGAAATTAAAA